TTCGTCTTTTGCTTGATCGTATTTGAGTCGTCTTCTCTTGAACCACTCTTCCTCTGGTTGGAGCTGTGTCCACAACTGCTGACTATCTCACTGTCTCTTTCTGACTGTCTCTCTAACTGGACTGTGTCCTCATCTCTAACTGACTTTTTCTGGCCGACTGGAGCTCTCCTTTTAAACCCTTCCAGCATGCGAAGGTTCATCATCAGGTGATGATTCATTGGCAGTGTCATCATTGTAGCTGAGGCAGTGTTTTCTTATTTGGTGATGACATCGAGCTTTCATAGAGTCAATCTCTGAGTTGGTGTTTTCTGAGTTGACATGACTCATCTTTGTCATTGTTTGTTCATTGATTGCTTTGACTAAGTTCTTCATGTAAACATTGCCGAAAACAAGGGGGATGCAATTTTCCTCATTTCTATAGATATCTTTTATAATTGTTGATTATTTGGTTGCTCTTTCCTCTTTTTTTGGCATGTTGTGAGATTTCGGATAGTTGAATAAACCGTTTTATTCTAATTAATTTAAGTTGATATTAAAATTTGGAAAAGGGGGGTCCCTAGATTGGTAAAATAGGCGAATTTCCTCCTACAATTTTGGTTGTTATTCAAGATACAATTAAGGTTCACGTGAATACATAGTTAAAAAATAAAGTAAATAAACAAAAATTATTACAAATAAGTTTACAAATATATATACAGTAGAGCGTCGTTTATCCGAAGGTCGGTTATCCAAAACGTCGGTTATCCGAAGGAATTTCAGTCGACAAATTTAAATTTTCGCCAGAGCTGTGGCGCTGTAATCTTTGGCTATGTCTTGGGCTACTCAAATATTTTACGTTTTTGATACTAAATTAACTTCTGAAGTATAATTTTTTATTGTTTTTATATTTTTCAATATATTTATTTTGTTTGTACAAAATAAAAAAATAATTTTTAACGATACAATAGTCTTCGTTAGGCTTAACATCGACGAAAATTCAACGCGAAGCGACACGCAACGGAGAAAAATTTCAACACGGGATAAATTAATATATTTTTTCGTACATAATTGGTTATCCGAAAAATAAGTTATCCGAACAACCCCAGTCCCCAATTGATTCGGATAAACGACGCTCTACTGTATATATTGGAGGGGGGAGTGGTAGTCCTCACACCAGCCACGAATTTCGCGCCAATAAGCTGCCTTAACTTGTTCGATTATGTTATCAACTCAATTTCATATTTATTTTCACATTTTCACTTCGCGGTCTTTCTCTGTTCTTTTTCCGTTATTTACACGTGTAGGTCATTTCATTGTTATTCACATTTCATATCATCATTTATCACATACTACTATGAAGCTCTTGTCTGTCCGCTACAACTGTCAAGAATTAACGCGATTGGCGAAGCGTAGTGACAGAGGGTCAATAGAGAGCAGGGTCCTTGCCATAATGCGATTTGCGCGCCAATTTCGTACGTGCGTTAATCGAGCCGAATAGTTTGCCCGAATATTCGGCTATATTTTGCAAATTCCTAGGCAATGATGGCACGCAGATAGTGTCTTTCACATAACTCTGTGAGAAGAAATCACAGTTCTGGGGACCTGATTGGCTAGCAAATTGAAGAATTGTCATTGAGCCTATAGCGTTCGATCCATGCCTGAAGAAGTTGTGATATCATTTTGGTTTTGTACATATTAACATAAGTTGAAACAACCTGAAAGACATACAAGGATTTAAAATTCAAAAATTGCGATTTATTCTCACATCTACTTTTCCTCTAGTCAACTTAATGCCGACTGAAACAGCAAGATATAGTTCGTTGTAAAACAGTAAATTCTTATCAAAATATTTTATAGATAACACAAGAACGTGGTAAAAATTTTAATATAATATTGATTACTTTATTCCACATTTTCAAAGTTAAACAATAAAAATTAAAAGACGAGTTATCGTATTAAATTAAGGATATTGTCATGATATAGAAAAGTTTGCGCTCGCAACTAAGAGTATTAATCGTTTCTCGCATTCATAAACATGTATTTTCTTGAATGCTTTTGAATCACTGGAAATTGCTCTGTAACAGGTACAATTTGTATAAATAACAATAATTGTGTTAAATGCTAATTTATTTTTGATAAATAAACAATTTTATTACGTTCAAAATAAATAATTATATCAGGCTTATTTTTCTTTAATTCTTGCATCTTATTAAACGATTGTTATTTAATTGATTTAAAGATTTATAAAATTGTTTAAATATATAACGTAATTCATCGTATGTTCATGAAACTATCATGAAATCTTATCGATTCTATAATAACAGTTTTTCTATTGAAACGTCATGATATATAATTATCATAAATTTAAACTATATCAGCATTTAAAATATAATAACAAATAGAATATAGAATTTTTGTAAATCAATAGCAAGATGTCACAGACTATATTCCGTATTTCTTGTACAGTCATGAAATGTCTCATTAGGAAGTACTGTACAACTGTTCAAATACAATGCACAACAGTGAACGATCGTCTATGACTATAGCTTTTACAGCGAAATTTTTGTCAGAATCTTTAGACAGACACAAATAAATGGTTTCATAAGTTTATTTTAGTGTCAGTCAAACACCATGAAATATGAACGTCAATACATTTTTTTTGTTACCAAACAAAAAGAGAACAAAATCACTAGGTTACTACATGGTCGTATTCGCTCGCTACAATCTCGATGTTTGCGGACAAAACTATTTTTATACATTTTTCTTATAATCTAAGCAAACAAATGCCACAACTTTTTTAGGAAAAGAATTCTCTGCGTGATGCTGTAATGTAAAACAGTCAAAAATCTGGATAAGCTATAAGTTTTTTCAAGCATGGGCAAACGAAACTTTTTGTTGGGCAAGCGTGGTCAAACGAAAGGCACCAATTACTTTAAAAAACGGTTTTAAATCGTAATTAACGTTAATTTGAATTTTAAAACAGCAAAAACATTATCAATTTTTTGTGATATTAAAATCAACTAACGAAAAATCAAATTAAAGCATTTATTAGACTACAAGATGTTTACAAACAGAAAGATTCTTTTCCGATTCACATCACATGATAAAATTCGACTGGATCTACATTCTTAAATTCTTAAAGCCGATGCAGTCGAGAAAATATCTCCTTGAAGGGGTTTTGAATTAATTAAAATTGCCCTTCTTCTTCAACTGCTTTATGTTTACTTTTAAAGAAATCCTTTTGTAAATCAATTCCTTTGCACTTTCACACGCTTTTAAACATAAAAATCCATTATCCGTAACCTAAAACGATAAATAATACTTAGCAACGTTTATTTGAATTTACATTTTCGTGATAAAAAAATTGCACGTACAATTTCCGAATATTCAAACTTTGTCTTGACAATTTCAGTAGACGCAAATTATTCCAGAGATATTGCTTCCATCCGTCTTTTCTTTACTGTATAAACGTTTCTTGAGTTTATTAGACATTTAATGTACTATATTTAGATAAAGTTCCAGAATTGAAGATACCGAAGATTAATTTCTAGATGTTTTCATTTCGACGTAATTCAGAGCAAATTTCCGTTCGCAATTGACACAGATCGAAAGAAGACGTTGATTAGGAATGGACACGAAATGAGTGACACAATAAGTAATGGACAGAACCAGGATGCGTCATATTCGAGAATGAAAACAATTCGAGAATCAAATTTAGTGGATAGACACAATCTGGTAGTCAAGTTCGAGCATATTCGAAATTACGTAGTCAAAATCGTTTAAAAGTCAAAATTTAGAGAGTCAAAATCGGTAAAGGTCAAATCCTGGGCAGTCATAATTGATGAAAGGTCAAATTTTTGAGAGTCAGAATTGGTCAAAGGTCAATTTCAGTGAGAAGCATTAAACAAAAGATCTGTGAAAATAAAATAAAAATTACTAAGAAATTCATCTACAAATTTTAATCATTTTTAAATAATAACTTTATTTGTTATTAAGAAACTGAAAATACATTGTTGCCTTGTGTGATTTATTACGTACCAAATATAAGTTATTGTGAATGTCAACGTTTTACAACCTTCCTGTAATAACATTTAAGTCACTAAACAAAGTAACTGAAAATCTTATCTTTACATCCATTTTTGTTGTTTTGCAGTGTTACGAGACAAGTACATTCCCAGGATTTTGTCTCATAGAGGGCAGAAAGTATAAAGTAACAAACCGATTAAATAAAATTATGGTTCTTAGATACATTTCTTCTACTTATGTTAATCTCTTCTATCTTCGTAATAAACGCGTAAAACACAAGCAAATAGTGTAGTTTCTCATAGTATTAAAAGAGAAACATAGGGTCTATCTCGTCGCACGATAATATTGGTTACTGTGTTTCGATGCATCGGCAATTAAAATAAATTTACTCTTACAGACCTCACCGATTTCTAAAATTATTTTTATAATAAAAAAAAAATGAATATTTTAGGAGAGACAAATGACTTTCCAGGTCTCGACTTTACAGGACGCTTGTTAGGTAAGTATATCATCAAATCACTAGCGATTTCAGGATATTTGAGGCCTTAGCTAGATATTGAAATATAAGGCCTATTTATATAAATGTATACAATGTAAAGCCGTACGATACGATTTCTTGTAAGATCTAAGATCTTTCCAAATACAATACTGGATTCCAGATTTGGACCAATACACAGTATCGACAATAATACATATGTAATGCCCGAGACCCTAAAAGCCTAGTTACGTATATAACATCGCAATAGCATTAATCTGATTCTACGTTTTGTCTTGTTCATGTCGTCATTTAATTATGTGTTGTTTGTACAACTGGGCCATCAACTGTGATATACAGTATTTATAAAGTGAGAGTGTAAAATTTCCTGAATGTTTAATGTAAAATACAAAAACATTATTTTATAAGCACTTACCCAAGACGAACTCGGATCAAATCAGAAATAGATCTCTTCTGATATTGGCAAAGAGATCTTACTCCAACCGAGCATACTCGGATACCTCACCTCTTCTCCACTTACGCACGGTTCTGAATAAAGAAAAATAATAACGTTACAAGTGATATTACTCATTGAAAACGTTTAACTGAATGCGAATTAAATCAGAAGATATCGATGGCGCTATATCGAAGTTCCAGCTTATGTCTATTGATCGACTTCAAATATTACATCAAAAAGTTAACAAATTTTTATTCAGTTTATCAGTAAGATTTTCAATTTAATTTACCGTTGAAAAATCTTTAGTTTTTCAGTTTTAACTTATATTTTTGGATATGGCACTTGTTTGGATAAAGAGTAAACCGTGAATTCTCGATATACCGCATTCCAAACAGCGCCAAAGAAAACGGGAAAATTATGTGATTCTCGTCAAATCACATAGGTTCTGAACTCAAATTTACGTGTAGATTTTAATACTATATATTGATGTTTGCGGAATTTTGGTTTACCGCCACACTCGAATTAGTGCTAATTTGAGAGGCGAAAAAGTGACGGAGCTAAATCGAAGTTTGATTGAATGTACATAGAAATACGTACCTCTTAACCGGCTTCCACATTGATTTCAAGAAAGATCCGAACTTCATTTTCAGTTTATTCTGCCGAAAACCCTAAGTCTGAAAATACAAAAGCAAACCAGTTGTTTTATTTCGTAAAGTGACATTCAAATGCGATATTGGAAAATAAAACATACAATTTTCGGCCAAGACACTTTATGAAAATACTCGTGTTCTCTTATATTTACTTCTAGAAGACGTCTGTACGGGTCCTGAAATAATCGAAAACAAAAGTAATTAATTCAAATTTACTATTCGAATGATTATATTTTCGTCTGTGTGTTATTTCGGATAAGACAAATGTTATTAAACTAATTAGCAGCACGCAATTAAAAATTTACTTAATGATATAAAACGAGTTTTCAACATTTTATTGAATATAATCAGTGAATTAATTATAAACAGATTTATGAAAGTCCACAGAAAGACCATATGATTACAATTAACGATATTAATTGAATGAATGCTTTTCATACAAGAAAATACACAAAATTTGCCGTATATAATCATTGTTTTTGGCAAGAAAGAAAAGTCGAATGCAGATACATAAGAGAATTACATGCTTCGGTTTGTAAATAAATGTCATTTCATGCATAAAACGAGAAGAGACAAATCTGAATTTGTTAAGTACAATTAAGTATAATCTTACCTTTTGCAATAGGTCATAAATAAAATGTCTGTCATCATCCGATAATCCAGGAGGATACGACACCTTCACATTTAGAGCAGCTGCAAACGCATTTTAATATTAATTATCTTATATTGCTATTATTATTATTCAATTAATAATTTTGATACATTCCTCTTATCCGGTCGTAACGGGGCAATAAATACACATTATCAATATCGAAAGCTTCTTTCACATAAATCTCCAGAGGAGTTCTTCCAACCAACGCTTGAAATAACACGATGGCGAAAGCCCACCAATCATAGTAGGAACCTACAAACAATACATTCATTAATACATCCAATAATATGATACAAATGTAAGAGTATAATGATGTGAAAGTACAAATGTGAAAGTACAAGTCCTTACCGTAAGGCTTCCTCTGGAGAATTTCCGGACACATAAATGATAAAGTTCCACAAAAATCTCTTGGATTTCGTTCGTACTGAAAAAAGTAATAATAAAATAGTTAAGAGATCGTTAAAAATCTACAGTTCAAGAATATTACAATGTATAATGCTTACTGTGGATAGACCGAAATTAATTACTTGTGCACCTTTGTACACATCTAACATAACGTTGTTTGAACTAATGTCTCGGTGTATTATTCCTATTCAAAATAAAAACATTACTTTGCCACTCTTTACACATCTCTGGACTAAACAAGCAAATAAATCTACAGCAAATAATTACCATTACTATGAATATACATAATAGCAGAGGCCACTTGAGCGGCAAACACTTTAGCTCTTCTCTCCGTTATAGGGCCATTCTTTTGTATAAATTCGGTCAAAGTTTCTCCTTGGACAAAATCCGAGACAAAGCAAAAGCTAAAAAATAAAACTTATTTCTTCACAGAGCACAAATTATTATAAATAACTCAGGTGAAAAGAGAAAAAAACTTACGCTGTGTCAGTTTGCAGGAATCGAATCAATCTGACAATGTTTGGATGGGCGGACACGCAATTCCAAACGATTGTTTCTCTCCGGATTTCACCAAACTATAAATAAATTAATGATGATTACACACGAAATATAAATTTTAAATATTGTTTAAATATTACTAGTGTAAATTCATAAAACAGTGATTACTCTTATACTATTAAGAAACTTATTATTCTTTTAATATGTATATATTTAGTGATTATTGTGTATATTCCGGAAATTGTTCTTAATCCCCTTAAAATTGATAATTTTTGTTAAAAAAAATACCTGATTAGAAGAAGAGACTTTCTTCTTTACGATTTTTAAAGCCTTTTTCTTTCTAGAATATTTGGTCTTAGCCAAATAAATAGTCCCAAAACTTCCACGACCAATTTCTTTAGTAATTTTGTACTTGTCAATATAATATTTGGTTTTATCAAAACGGTCGTGTTCCTGCTTTGAATCTGCGAGTTTTTTTTCCAATTCGTAAGGCTACAAAATTATAGAAATGATTATTTATTTAGAAAATTTGCTAATGGAAGGAAAACAGAAGGAACGAATACTTACCTCGGTATTAGAGATCTCGCCTGAAATGCAACAACATAACAAAAATTTATGGAATAAATTAGTTAAAAATCCCATAAACTTTCCTTTCTTCTGCTTATTTGCTTGCAACTGCGACTCGTCTAGATTCGAGAAGTCACATTTTGTTGCAGGCGAATCTTTGTCATTCTACGAAACATCAAGGTAAAAATTATCGATGTTTGCAAACGTTGTCGTTTTAAAATTAATCAAAAAATCTTCGTTATCTTAATCTACTCAAAGAAAAATTGTGATTTTCTTACAGAGAAATCAATGGTTTACCTGAAATGAGCAATCTTTATTTTCCTGAACACTCGGTTCAGAATCTTCTCTCCTAATACAGAGAAACTATATTAATTCTTACATAATATTAAAGAATAAATAAACACAATTTCTTTTTTATAATTTATTTTGTATACTAGTACTTTCTATGTATTAACAGGACTTATTATACTGGAAAATTATGGATGCAGATATTTAGTCTTACAGTTCAAAAATAATGTTCTTTATTTAGTTCACCTGAACACATACACATCAAACATGTGTTTCGGACTTGTTCGTCCCTCCTCAGCAGGCCTTTAAACGACACTTTAACTTCAGTTTTTCCAATCTTCACTATATTTCCAATTAAACTTCCGATTCACAACAACCATACAATTTTACCCATTCTTCTTTTGGTTTTTCTATGTCTACTTAATTTTATTTTCAATACATTCCTATTTCCTTTTAATAGGAAATAGGAATGTATATTTCTACGGATAAAGGGCGTAACGGATCGATGTACGATAATTTTAAATGAATTAGAATAATTTCAAGAGGAAGATATGATAATTTTATCCCGTAAGGTTGGCAACTTGAGTCGCAGTCTCTATGTAGTATATTCTAGCTCGTTGCTTATATCGAAGAAAAAGTTATTATTGTGTATAATATTTTGCTAAGTTTTATAACAACACTAATTTAAATGCCGTGTCTTTTTGTCATGTATTTGTTTTATTTGTTTATATTGTATTTTATTTATTAATCTAATTATATTCTGATAACTGAAAACGACCTAGATTCACGATATCGAATAAATTGAATGAAATCTAATTAAGCTCTTTATTCATATTCTAGATATATATACAAAATAAAATATTATTTAAAGATTAAAATGTAATATTAACATGTTTATAAAGATTGACGATAATAATATATAAATTACAAATATAAAATGAAGGACAAGGTCACTCGGTGTCTATTTGGCAACAATGTCAAAACCGGTAGAAATTCAAAATGGCCGCAGATAGATTTAAATTTATGACGAGGTTTTTAAATTCGAAGTTATACAATGAAATTCGAAGTAGAAGATGCTGTCACGCAGCTAGTTTACGGTATACAGAATTAAAATGTTTATAAGCACAGCTAATAGTTCGGAAAATGTTCTAATTGGAGTGTATGAATTATTTCAGGTTACCGATTCAGAGAGAATCGAAGAAATATATATTAAGCAACCATTGTGATTTTCAAATTAGACCTGTCCGAAAATTTTTTAATCCATTATCTAGTAAACGAAAAGAATACTCAGAAAGGAGGATTTTAGGGTATAAATTAATTAAATGATTTTCTATCTGTTATAAGTTGGTTTAAGCATATGCATAAAGAGATTTTAAAGTTTCAAGGTTATTCATGAAATAATGGATACTATTAGGTTATATTCAACACCAAAATAAGAGACAGATTACTGTTTCTAGTTTATAGACAATCGTCAAGAATATATCCTGATGATAGTTTATAAATAGACAAAAAACATTAGATTTCTAGTAATTTGTTTTTGTTCTGGTATTAAACTTAAATACACAAAGCAGTGGTTGAAACATAAAGCTATACTATATATAGTCTTGATTGTATCCAAATATATATAAATTTTTAATCCTGTAATTTGTTCTAACATTGACTTGTATAAACTTTATATTAAACATCTGTTAACAATTTATTTAATAGTTTGTGTACAGGGTGTCCACCATGAACATGACACATTTGTTTCAACTGGCATATCAAAGTACAAAACAGTAATCAGATGTCGTGCATTCCATTAGGCAGAGAAACTGTTGAAGTTGTATAGGTAATTTTAAAAAACCACCAAAGTGATGGTAGGTGGCGTGGTCAATGCAAAATGGCTTCTCCACAAGTGCAGGTGCAAGTTGTGTTGTGGTATGATGAAACAAATTCCATGATTCCAGCAGGACGGTGCCCCTCCACATTGGAACCTGCATGTTCGATGTTTCCTCGACACACAGTTTCCCGATTATTGGATTGGGCGTGGAGGACTGATACCGTGGCCTCCTTGATCGCCGGATATTACGCCCTTAGACTTTCTTTTGGGGATTTGTCAAGGACAAGGTTTACACCAGTGTCAAAATTTGTGGCCTTCAACATCTTCATGTGTGCATTCACGATGCTGTTGCTGCCGTCATGCCCAAGATGCTTGAAAGAACCTAGCATGAAATGGAGTATAGACTCAATGTTCTATGTGCAACAAAAGGAGCTCATGTAAAGGTTCACTGATTTTTTTATTAAAACTTTTTGAGTTTTTCATCAAAAAGTGTGCATTACTTTACATCCTGAGTGGTAGATTTTTTACAACAGTTTCAAATGTGTCAGGTTCATGGTGGGCATCCTTAAGTTTAACAGTATTAAAGTTTAAGTTTAAGAATTTAAGTTTAACAGTATTTTCTGAGGAAATTTTATTATTATAAACTAAAAAATTGTAACTTAATCATTTTAGACAGATGTGGGACCTAGTCTTGACTACTGTCAGTAATGTCAAAGTTTCAGTATCCAATAGCAATGGGAAGCTTACGTTACATATTGAACTTCGGATCGCTAGTAATCACCTAAGAGACTAACATCCAATATGTTTTCCTGTGATATTACTTTGAATATGCCATGTAAGTCTAAGTGTCCTTGGACACTTTGGTATTCAAGGGTTACCAAACTGATAGCATTTTGATATCCTGTTACTCACGAAAATAATTAAGACTAGACCCTATGATCTCTGCTCAAATATTATATTTCAAGATACATTCAAAACAAATACAATAAGATTATACAAAACTTTTAAGGGATTAAATGATATAAACTCAAGTAGGAAAGCATTTAAAAAATTTATGATAAATTTATTATTCAAAGGCAAAGTTGGAGTGCAAGGCAAAATTTAATATACAGTACTATACAGTATATTAAATTTGCAATCATTACAGTTTTTAAAATTAATCATTAAATATAAATTGTATGCTCTACTGCTAATATATAATTAAAATATACATAGTAAATATTCATCGGCAAATTCTTTTGCATGTTTTGTTAATTGCAATTTTTTAACATAGCAGTTGCACAATACTGTATATCATATATTTGCTTGCCACAGTTGCATTGATAGCTATGAAAACTTTATTTTATCAATTTATAAATAGATATGTATTAAATATGTTTAAAACATTTTTAGAATAATTTAAGTACAATTATTTTATGAGAGAAACCATTTTAAGCATGGTTTATTATTTGAAAATTGTTACAGTTTGAATTAATACTGTAAACTGTCTAAGTAACAAATTTCAAAGGACCAAATTTTGCACAGTTCATTATTTGGAGTGTTCTTTACTTAGTGAATTTTATTAGAGAGAAAGTGCACATATGACTGCATCTGTAGTGTTCTGTCAATGTCTATAAGGCTTTTTTCTGTTATAGTGCCTATGTATGGTATATATGAGAATAATAAAATACATAGCAACAACTGAATAATATATAGTGTACAATAATGGAAATTATGATTTACAATGGTTTAATTCATTCTTATAATTACACAACATTCTCTCACTATGTAAAATGTTAGGCTAATGTGTTTATTCTTTTAGCAAAATAATCTTTAATTGTTACTATATCATAAATTTTGGTAGATCTTTAATGGCAAATTCAGGTTGTTCAAACAGTCTCATATGCATGTTGGCATTTTCTGAAGTTAAAAAAAAAAAAGTGCTTGCAGAGTGTTTAATGCTTCTGTGCCTTCACTAAGAAATTTCATGTAGTGCTACTAGCATTGCTGATTCACATATAGACAGAAAAGGCAATGGGAAGTGGAAACAAGATGGTAAGAGGCATGTGATTATGGTGGTGCAGCTAACATCAAAATTGTCTTTACCATTTTGAAAGTGAAAATGTGGAAAATAGCATAAATAATTGCAATAATTTGACCAATATGATGCTGTTCACTACTTAGAGATGTTTGTCAATAATCCCAAATATTTTGATTTATATTGGGTGCCAGTTGGGACCATCCCTTGAGTTTGCTAGTTAGAGCTTTTTTACAATGGAGAGTTTGTCTTTAGAGCATTTACTATATTACAATATTTTAAAGAATTTGGAAAAAATTTTAGTTATAGTAATTGAACATAATATAATTAATTTATATAGAATTAGTTTCTATTGATTTTGCAGTGATGATAAAATGTGAAAATAGCAAGTATTGGCATTAAAAGAACTAGTCAGTAAAACTGATTATCACTTTTACACCAGAAAATATTATCATTTTTTTTAGTAGATTATAAATTACTAAAGCATTATTAAACTTTATGCAGTATTTATTTAGTAAATTATGTATTTTTAAAAGAATAGTTGTAATGATATTATTTTTCTTTTTAATCAACAGAATTATAGTAATTTACTTTTGTATAAAAATTGTATTTTATCTAAATTTCAATTTGAAGTTTTATTATTTAGATATAGTATGGAGCAAATGTTTGATGTTGTAGCTGGTGTAGAACATTACAATAAATTTGTTCCTTGGTGTGTTAGCTCTGTGGTCAAAAAACGACGACCTGACTATATAAAAGCTGACTTAGAAATAGGGTTTTCACCATTACTGGAACGTTATACATCATCAGTAACACTTATAAAGCCACATTTGGTAAAGGTATGGATCATAAGTAAATATTTTAAATATTAATTTAAAAAAATTTACAATAGGTATTAAAAATTTTCAAGATTATTATCATTTTGATAAAGTAACTTTGCTACCTGCATGACATCTCGTATCTATATTGTGACCTCTAATTTTCATAATTTTAAATTGGGTACATTCCAGTATGCAACAAACAGTACATTGGTTAACTGTGATGTACAAAAATGTGTGCCGATATTCACCGATATGCATTGCACTCATTGGGTTGTGGATAAGGTGAACTCCAATGAAGCAATATGGTTGCCTCCATAGTTATATTTAGCAACTTTGTAAAAAAATCATAAAAATTGAATAAGACGGTTAGCATGTAATATTATTTAATCCCATACATTATAATTAAATGGTTAATGTTACCTATGGTTCTAAGATGGCCATGCTTCCGACTGTTTGTGGTCCAGACGGACTCCTCCCGGAGGGGAGCTGCCGGCAGGCCGCCTTGTGACAAACGTCACTAGTTATTGATTCACAGTAGTTCTTGAACAAAATAAAAAAACAGGAAATATCTAGTAAAAATATAGTTAATCTAATCTAACCAAAGCACCGCCATCTTGGAACCATAGGTAACATTAGCCAATTAAATACAGGTAGGCCTCTTACAACGTGTTTTCGCTCCAACGCAGTTGGGAAAATGCGGTAATGTTTTACAACGCGGTTTACGGTATTTAGAAACGAATTATCTTTCACATAACAGAAAAATCGCAACGGATCACGTGATACGAACCGCAATTCGGCATACAGAACTAAATGTCCTTGAAAACAGCTGTTTGTTGCTGTTGGTGTGTTATTTATTCCCTTGAAAGTTTCTGGGGAAGACCGGTTTCTAGCCCAGATGTGCATCAGTTACCGTAAACACTCAAATATATCACTAAATTTTCCATCATTTATACAGTTTCAATAAGTGGGGACAGCAAAAATGGTCCAAAATATAGTATAAACTTCTATTGGGTGTATATTTTTAACAAAATAGTGAAGAAAAGTTATTTTTTGTGATTTTTACTGTCCACAAAACTGATTGAAAAAATTTTAGCCATAACAATGCCGAATGAAAAGAAAGGACTGTCGTTAAAAAGGAAATTTATAACTCTTCAAAGATAGAAATTTTGGATCGAATTAAAAATCAAGAGCGGATAGCTGATATTAGTAGGCATTTTAATTTAAATGAGTCGACTATTCGGTCGATTAAGCAATCGGGAGAAAAGATTAGAAATTTGGTCGCATCCGGATCA